TTTTTTTTCTCAGGACGATGACAAACGGGGACATCACCCACACACAGTCACAGTCACAGCCACTCACTGGCTCGCGCGGGCCTGAATCTGACGCGTTGCCGTGGGGACGGCAGCAGGACCAGTCAAACCAAACTTTGAAACTACCAACCGGAACCACCTCCTGGGCCCTCAAACTCTGCCACGTCCGGCCGTGGACAGTCGGGCGGCCGTAGATCAGAGTCAGCGGCGCCCAGCTTTCTGCTTTCAGACATGATTATTTATCTAGTGAACATATTACATCGGACACGTTCAATTAGTGCCAGAGCCCACCGGTGGAGACGGATGGGTGCGTGATGCTGATGGAAGTCAGTGTCTGGTGGTCAGCCCCGGTGGTCAGCCTAGGTCAGAGTCGGGGAGTCTGTGAGGGGGACGGAGCTCCCCCAGCTCCAATTCTGACGTAACTGGGCTCCAGGAGGAGAACAGGGTCCGAATACTGATTGGTCTGAATGAGTTTGATCGTGTCGGGCCTCGTTTGCTCAGAGCGCTCCGCGGCGGGGGTCAGAGGGGCAGAGGGGGGCTAATTGCCGCGTCCTCAGGAACGATTATCACACCGTTCAGTGATTGTCGCGCTCACGACTAGCCGGAGCTACTTCTCCCACAGTAACATCTCCAAAACTCGCCATTGTGAGCTCATATCTTGGTTTATTTGCCGGAATGAATGAGAGCGGCGCTCGGCTTTTTTTTTTCTTCTCCAAAATGTGCTGCATTGCTCAGGGGGGAGATGTAGTTCACATCTCCAGATTTAGCCACCTCGTTTTTACTCTCCACCTCCTTTCCTCTCCTCTTTTTCTCCCTCACTCATTCTTTTCCTCATCTCTGGCCGGCGGTAAATGGCTGATCTGGGACAGACAGGTCTCCCCTGCGTTTTGTCCCACTTCAGGCTCGTCCTTTCTCCCTCCTCGTTTCCTGGACCTCCATCAGCCCGTCTTCCGGAGACTTGCTCTCGTTGGGCTTGTCATTAGTCATTTGGCTGTAGTATCGGAGTAATGGCTCTGTCTGGTGTGGAGACAATGGCGCTGTCATTACTTTTTCTCCACCTGGTCTGATGTTGAAATTGAAACTTGTCCATCATGAGGCGCCCCCACTTCGCTTTGAAGGGAAACGACGGTTATGAATACAATTTTGTGTTGTGTTTGACAAGTAGAACATCAGCACTCAGGTGTGAATACCGTGACTAACAGCATGAACCACTGGCACAGCAATATTACGGGTTATTACGGGTTTATTACATACAGGACAACGACACGACACAAAACATCCTGAAAGTACAGTTTTTATTTCTCTGCATGACCATTGTGCATCTCTGTTCTTTTTTAATGTCTTCCCCTTGATTTTGGGCCACTTTGCATCTCATTTTATGTTTATGTTTTTGCATTTAGCAGATGCTTTTATCCAAAGTGACTTACAAAGTAGAATTATACATGTGTATCTCCCTCTCAGGGAGTACTGACTCTTGTTAGTTATTTGTGTGTGCAAATGTTTTAATTTTTGTCATTTTTGTGTTGTAGTTTCTGTTTTCTTTTTAAATTGTTTTGCAAGTAACTTTTTATTTCAGATATCTTTGTTTCCATCTCTGTGCATCTCATTTAATCTGTTTTGCTTCTCGTTTTTGGAATATGTGTAAAGTTTATTTGATGGGATTGGCAACTTTTCTAACCCTTATAGATCAGTGATGGACCATGAGCTTCAATTAAATGTTGTGGGTCCAGTTCATAAACTCAGAAGGTTACTGTTTTTGCAAATTCGATTTGGATGTCTTGAAAAACATTCCCACCTCATCTGTTATCAAACTTTTTTATAAAGCTGTCTCCAGAGCGTGACAGTCACTAAAATGGTTCAAGCTTTTTTGCATTACATTTGCATCAAATTGTCATAAAAAAGCAACAACATGATTATCATCTAATTGATTTAACAGAAAATGGCTCTAAATGCCGTTCCCAATTCAAAACTGAACCACTAAAGACTTTCTCAGAGCCCACAACTGCTCATTTGGCATCAGGCAGGTTTGGAAGTGCAGGCAGACAGAAAAAACTGCAGCGTTGGGTGGTGCTTCGACCTAAACGTCAGCAAACCACCAGTTCCAACACTGATACGACCTTGTGCTGTTTGATGTTCTCTTCACAAATAAAAAATTGAAGCGACACTGCAATGAACCAAAAGACTGACTGGTGTGTTATTGTCCATGCACTCCTCATAAAGCACGCTCTGTTTCTCACTTGTCTCCACTTTGCTGCTTCTGAAACAAGTCCCATTTGTCCTGTTGCACAAACTCCTCTGTTGGTAATTTGAGGGGGGAGGCTGGAAGGTGGAGAACTTTGGCCAGAGTACCGACACTCTGTTACGAATTCCCCCTCAGTTTATTAGGGCTAATTGCGCCATCGAGAGGGATGTTTCATTCCTCCCAACAGTCACCGCTGCATCATCAAAGTGGATTTTCTATTTTTAGCCTCGGCAGATGCATGGAGCCCGGGCCTGCCCGGGATGAGCAGAAGGTCGGGTGGGGAGCAATTTGTGTGTGTGTGTTTGTGCGTTTGAGCACAATCGAAGCCAGCAACATGAGCATCAGCAACCATGTAGTGCTGCATTAAGGTCCTGCGGGAAAGACGAGATCTGAACTTGAAAGCACTCCTCTGTATCAGCTTTATGGGCTTGCCAGCTCCATTATCTTTATGATAAATTAATGGGCTCGACAATTTATTTTCAGTGCGGCACTCTTGGATCTTTAAAGTAAAGTGAGCATAGTATGTGACAGTGAAGCATCTGACTAATGGTGTCACTAACATGAATGCTTCAGTATGACCAAATCTACAGGAAAAAAGAGGAATGCTTTTTCTCAAAATGACTTAAAATGCTCCAAATTTACTTGCTTATATTGATTCAATAACACTTACAAACACTTGACTCTACATGGAGATATTATTGCCATCTTATTCAGTAAAACCTTTTGCAGTTTAGTCTGCATTTTTTGCCTTGTGTCACCTTGTGTTATCAGCTAAAGCTAAAAAATGAAAAATGCTTAGCTCAGAAAAACAGAATATGTCCTCCACATCTCCTGAAACCACAAAAAATAGCTGTACTGTATCTGGTTTCAGCCTCTGAAACAGTAGGATTCCCTCTTCTTCCCTGTTGTGCTAAAATCTTTTTCGAAGTGTAACTTTTCTGCCATTGAGTTGATGTTTAGTACTTTTTTGGTCTTCAGGTGTATTTCTTTTTTCACTTTCGTCCCGCTCCAGTGAGCTCATCACGGACAAAAGTGTGTCATGCGTGTGCTTGCGTGCTCCGCTCGTGGGCATTGGTGGGTGTTTTGGAAATTTACGGGAGATGATGAACTGGCAATGTTTTGGGCCCGGGAAGGTTTGGGCGTCTGCATTAATAATGGAAGCACAGCTGGGAGTATTTATAGCAGTAGTGGAGGGGAGCTGTGGCAGCATGAATGGGCGATGATGTATGAGATAAAGTACAGTCTGCCAGCCCGCCTGGACATCAGACGGCCCGAGCCTCCCCACGGTCAGCAGCCTCAGAAGGGGGGGGCAACACACGAACCCCCATTCACAAAACCATTTTCAGACTTCCAAAGGACAAGGTTCCACACTTCTACATCTTGTTAGGTGTCAAGTCTCTTCATAAGCTGGTAACAGAAAGGTTATTCCATTTGTTTGTCCAAATTAAAAGGATAGGGTTGAAAATGTTTTTGAAAATATAAAAAAGTAGGCTTAAATGGGTGGAGGAATGTATGGAATGGATGGAGGCAAAGAAGACAAACATATGATGGATATTTCTGATCATGTTCAAAATTCACCTAAAACATGGAGGTCTGAGGCATTCTCCTTTAAATATTCTTGAAGCAAACTTTGAACTCAGACCACACGTAGACATATATTTCTCTTCCCACTTAATCTGCACGGCCACAATTTATTTCATGTTAACACGCTGGTAGATATGTGAGCTATTAATTCTAATTCTAATTCTACTGTTTTCGTAAATAGAAACACCCAAATATTTTCCGTGAGGTGCTGATCTTGAACCGTGAAAACACAATTTAAATACTATCTGAAACAGCAATGTTATTTTTTCCTCAAAAATACTATAAATTCTTAAAGATGAAATCTGTTGCTCCATAATCTGTGGCTCTCATTTCCCACCGAATTTTGTTTCACAAGTGAACTTTTAACATCTCTAATGTTAAATGGTGGCGAATGCGTACACATATCATGCAAATAACTCTTAATCATGACTTGATTGCAGTGCACCGCTAATTTTATGCCTCATTACCAATGTGTGTAGTTTATAGTTTAAATAGATGCCTCTGAGCCCATGCATTCATTTCCAAAACAGAAAAATGTCTGTTTGGAATCCTGTGCTGCTAAGACGCATTTTCTCCAAACCTTGCTCCTCTGTTTTGGACTGACCACCCGTCCGAGGCGTAACCGGCCCTGAAAAAGAGCTGGGAGGGGCTGCAGCCTGTCACAGTCTTAAAAAGGACACGTTGTGTACCATGGATGATGAAATAGCCAAAGTAATTGTATTGTAACATTGAAAAACAAAATTTTCTGAGGATTGCACATCTTTTCTAGATGTTTGCATCAAATGTAAAGGACAAAGTCTTTTTCGAAAAGCCAAAATATCTATTTTTTAATAAATCTGTTAATGGTGCAAATGAAGAAGCAAATAAACAAAAGGTCACTAGTGCCTTAAATATGTCAAATTTGCATTTGAGGTGTGAGATTGATGTGAAACTTGTTTTTTATGCAGATCATAGGAAGCAGTAAACACCAAATAGGTGATATTCCCAGGCAGGATTCGCCCTGCGAGCGGATAGATTTTCCCCTCAAAAGCCTTGAAAGCGCAGACCCCCTCAGAGGAAGTGCTGATTCAGCCCCTGCTGGACCGCAGGGGAGTGAAATCCTCCATTCACACGGTCTGACGAGGCTTTTTCAAACCAGGACGGGTCCTTCAGACTTTTGGCCTTTCGCTTGTTTCGGTCTCATTTTGAGTGCATATGAGTGTGCATGAATCACTCCTGTCACACCCTCTCTGGGTGCTCGCACCTTTCAAAGCCTTTAGATTTAGTTAGCGCTGCATGCTTATCACAGCCCCGGCTCCGGTCATCTCCCAGCGGGTCGCATTAGGCCCTTCAGCCCTGCGTCCACTTTGCTGATAGTTGGCGTTTTTTCTGACAGGGGCTTCAAAGGACGCCGCTCTGAGAACAAAAGTGGCCCAGAAAGCCGTCAGGATGCTCCGAAGGTGGCGCGAGGATGCAAATCCTTTACTCGACCTGTAAAAAAAACCAAAAAAGTGGAGACCTGGAGGTGGCCCACGTGGTCAGCCTCTCGCTCGGTGCCCCTCAGCGGTGGAGCAGCATCCATCTTTAATTTTTCACAGCTCGTCATATGTTCGGCCAGTCTCCCGCCCCAAAGCTACTCCCGTTATGGTTTGTTTATTCATGACTTTCCCCGATCCTGCCAACTACCAGCCCCAACTTGGCCTTCAGTGAGACTGAAGAGCAGAAAGGGAGTGTGGAGGAACCACTTTAGCTCCTCCACCAGACAGCAGAGTCTGTGGGACTGCTTTTGTGTTAGCAGAACACGAGAACAGATTCCGCGCGGTCCCGCCGAGGTTTAGTGGCAATGATGAATAAAGCTAATTAATTAGCAGGCTATTTGAATGTGATCTCAGCTCTCTGGCTCCCGCGCTGATTGACTTTCCTCCTCGTCTCCTCTGCGGAGAGAAGCTTTAACAAACACCGTGGCCTTATTCACATACGTGCAGACGCGTGTGTTGGCGTCTATGCCAGACTTTTTCCTTTTAATTAACCGCAGCTTAATTGAGAAGTTGATCCTAAGTCCAAAAAGCAGCTACTTTAAGTCCCTGTGAGAGCAATAATACCCATACATTTTTTTTATTTTATGCGATTTTGAAGTGGGAGTAAACAAAACAAAACAAGATGGGACCTTCGACCTTCCTTTTTCTCCACATTCAAAAAATGTATCAGTAGTATGCAAATGTAGGGATAACTCTTTATGATTTAATAACTCTTTATGATTGCATTTTGGTGCACAATAACTGTCAAAGTGCTGACGCTGGGGCGGATGCAGTCTGACCTTTATGAGCTGTCAAAAGTTGACAAGCGAACATCCCAACATCAGTGCGATCAATAGGAAGACAAACTGGGAAACACGCAGTTCATCAGGCAACAATGCGTCAAAATATCTCCAAACAGATCAACATCCCAGCCGGTCTGCACCAGGAGGAGTGGCAGCCAGCTAAAACTCAGAGGAGCCAGTAACTGTTTCTCCCATGTGTTTTAGGGATTTAATGGCCCTCTTCAAGCGTCTAGATTTTTAATCCCGGCTTTTGATGTTGAAAAAGCGACTTGGCATCGGGCAGAAGTCTGTGAGCTTTCTTGGAAAGTTTTTTATCTCTGTGCTTCTTGTTGACATGAAGGCCTTGGCTACTGTCCTCTGAAGTGTCTTGATGTGCCGCGATGAGCAGATGTGACCGTAATAGCCTCTGAAAATCGCCTGTGAGAGCACAAATCCTGGTCACAGGTTCTGGCAGCATTGCTTTTGGGATTGTGAAATAGTTTTTCATACCTGAACTTTTTAATAGATTGCTATCAAAACAGATATTTTGATTTTCCGGTGGTTTGTGAATGAACGGTGGGACTTTGCTGGCTTTTCACACATATCCAAATCAGAGGATACTTACTCATGATTTTAATTTGGCTCAAAACACTAGAAACACAGCATTAAATCATCTGAGCCAAATGAGCTCTGCCTCTAAACTCTGGCCAAATAGTTTTGCTGTTAAAACTTGACCAATAGTGGAACCACCCCACTGGGAATCCGTCCCATGGATGCTGTATGATAGCAGGGCCATGGTAGTTCACCAAACAGCCAGAGATGTCCCATTGGCTTTGCTCATCTCCTGCATATTTAAAAGAATCCAGATTTTGATGATAACAATATAGAAACCCTGGGTAAGGCTTTTTCTAGGTTGATGATGCTCGTTCTCTTGCATGTTGTAGGCTCAGTGGTTGAGGATTGTTGGGGTATTGAGTGCTTCTGGTTTCCAGAAATGTGAACCGGAACGCAAAGTTCTGTTAATGGTGCAGATTTGAGAGTTTATCGTCACGTACAGATGATTTTTTTGGGGCTGTCAGCTGGCGTTCTTTTCGCAGGCGTCCTGAACCTGTGCTCTGTCTTCATAAAGAGGATATCAGTGGAGCTGAGGTACGTCCTCTTTTCCTTTCCAAATCAAACCGGGGACCTCCATCGGCACTTACCGCGGTTTAAAAGCACAAAGGAGGATCTCCATCAGAACAAGTGCAGCTTTAGTCTCCCTCATCTGGCCTTTGGGTGCTCACTGTTCACAGAAGTGCTTTTACGGGCTGAGCGTGAAGGGCCGAAATGAATTCGCATTAGCCGTCATCCTCCGTGAGCTCGCAGCATCCTGACTGACGGCTGCGCCCAGCGTGAATCTGAATTTTGCATCGCCCGAATTACCGAGCAGTCTGTGCAGACAATTTGTGTCCGTTTGTGCGCGCTCTGTGTGTAGATGTCGAACAAGGAGGGGAGGGAAATTGGCCGTTCCAGTTTAGCGGCAGGAAAGTGGGGCGATCTGTTCTTTGGAAGTTTCCCAGTGAAATTTCCTGGGGACCGAGACACTGAAAATATCTTTCTATATACACACTATGTCCTACATAAAAGAGAGCGTGAACCAGAGAGAGACAGAGAGCAAGAGAGAGAGAGACGGAGCATGTGAAGTTTGGGAGGGATAAAGAGACAGGGAGGGAGGAAGGTTGAACGTCTCTGTGCTGGTGGGATCTCGGTCTTTTGATGGCATCACGCAGTCTGTCGAATGACTGAAGTTTGGTGGAACCAGGTCAAGACTGTGGCAAGACATCAGCAAAGTTACCTCTCACTTCTGTCACACAAAAAACCTCCCAAGTAGAAAAGCAAACGCTGCCTCATAACCCACTTTCTGAGCCCAGGAGCCAGAGGAAGTGTAGAGGTGAGTGTGAGAGCAGGGTTGGGGCAGAATTACTGTGGTTTCCATCTACACCTGCTTACTTTATGCCAGCAAACTGCTCAAATCCGTCTGTTTTCTTGCCAAAACATAGATTTGCTAAACACGCCACTTCATCCTCGTATCTTAAAGACATCTGGCTCATCACACTTGTTCCCCATTCATGAATATTTTAATACTTTCATCTTTAAGAAGTGTGTTACAACCAAAGCTGCCAGCCACCTGTTTCACTGAATGAAAGTTATGCTGCACATGACTGCACGACAGCTAGGCCCAAAATATTTACAAAATCACGCAGAAGTGCCCTTGATTTCATTTTTTTTAGTGCATCATTCTCAAGACTCTTCAAACTTAAATTACAAAATATTAAAACGAGACTTTTTCAGCTCAGAATAATAAAAAAATTCTGGTGCTTTTCATTTTGTTATCCTAATTTCTCAAGCACATTGTTTACATTCAAGACATTTAACTGCTAAAGAAGATGAGTGGGCTGATCTTTTTTGGAACCACATGATGCCCAAAGAGGTTTTCTGTACGCAGCGGTGTGAAGAAAAAAGGGTTAAACCTCTTTTTGCAGGAATAATGCAGCTCCAAACTAGGGCATCGTAAAAACAAGACTGACATATTTGTAGGTAACACCACTGAATCGGATGTGAGACCCAACGGAAAATGCTGTTAAAGGCGACACTGCCAACAGGGAAGATAAATGGGAAAGTTGTCAAACGGAGAATACGGCTGAATTGGTTACACAAGAGCTAAGTTGGGGGGTTACACTGAGAACTGCCTTCAGAGAAAACAAACAGTCCTCTATCCCCTGATGTCCGTAAAATCACTCGCACGCTAACCTCAGGTCTTTCTGCCCAACACACTTCAGTTCAGCGCTCATTGATCAAAGCACATTTTAGAATTAAGCTCCTGCATCCAAAGTAATAGTTCGACATTTCAGTTGTTCAGCTTATTCAGCTGCGTGCCAAGAGTTGGATTAGAGAATTGATCCTGCACCCGTGGTCTGACAGTAAATATGAAGCTACTGCTAGATATCAGCTAATTTAGCGTAGCACAGACAGGAACCGGGGCCAAAAGCCAAAGTCGGCCTCCCGGAGCCCCAAAAAGCTAATTAATAAAGCTAATTATAGTTTGCTTGTTCGGGCAATTCATGTTCATGCCAAGCTGCAAAGGTCCAGATCTACTAAACAAGGCACACCAGTGCAGAGATGCAAATGGAATCAGTCAGAACAGCAACAATGAGAACGGTCACCAGGCTGCAAACCAAAGCATTTCATCAACGACCAAAGTACTTTACGATGACCGGCGCATTTCAGCCCACACAGAAATCCCAAATCCAACATGTAGCCAAGAAGAATAATAAGGAAAGCCTTTTAGTCTCAATCGATCGCCTGCTTTCATTGCGGCCCACAGCCTACCTCTGAGAGATCTGTAAACAGGTATTATTGTCCAAAGTCAGTGCTAAGTAATGAGAAAATAAAGCTCCTGGTGCATTATTACATCCTAATAATTTGGTTGCAATGTGGTTAAATAATGTTAGAAATCAGAAAATCAGGACAGTGACATCCAAGAGACATTATTTTGCATCAGATGAAAGAATCATAATGATAAACGAAGACAAATCATTACAGGAGGGTTTTGGGTGGAACATTAAATCAGCTAAAAGTAGCAGATTTCATCAGGAATCTCTTGAATATATTATGGGTCTCTAACTTGTTATTACTGGCCATAATTACAGGTTCGTAACTGAAGTTCAGGCTCCTGATGAGAATGGCAGGTGCATTATCTCCTTTTAGTGATTTATAAAGACTTAGTTTATTCCCTGATGATATTGGATGAATGTGGCATCTTTAGCTAAATTTAAATGAGCCGTTTTTGTGCTGTGAGACCGTCAGCATCCTCGATGTGGCGGAGCAGATCTAACAGAGATCTTTTTTATCATCCAGACACAATTTGCATCTCATCATTGTTGTTGCTGGTGCCCCCCCCCCCCCCACTGCCTGAACGCTGGAAGAAATGCAGAAAGCTTCAGAAAAGCACTCTTCCACTTCCTCTTTAATTCCTGTTTGTTTTTTTGGCAACCCAACACAGTTTAATTACCCAACATGACCATGATGACAGCTTCTGCACTATTTGAAGTATTTTAAATTCCACAAATTGACACTAAAGAGGTTCTGAATACACATTTAGCAAGTTGCATTTATTAGTGAAACTTGAAAAACAGAACAAAAAAAATTAGAGCTTTTTTGTTTTTTTTAGATGACATGCTGCTGGTTCAGTAAAATCTCTCAGCAGTTGTCATGGAGAGTGGGCTTTCTCTTTTTTGTTTTTTTCACAGGTAAGACGTTGCTTTAAGTTTTAGGACATGAAAGCCTCTTAAAGATCCATCCTGGTAGCTGACATTAGCGGGGGGGGGTGCCCTTCCATCACTGGGCCTCACACAATCACATACAGATTTATCCTTATGTTGTAAATTTGCCCTTACCGGAGGGTCTTTTATTCATTTCTTAGTTTTTCCCTGTATATATTTTTCTACTTTAGTGTGAATCTGCATGCTTGCCTGTCACTTTTTGCTGCTGGCAGGCCTGAATGTCCCCCATCAGGGACGGTGAAGGACATTTCTATTGTGTTCTACTCTAAACAAGCTGCACGGAAAATATAACATCACTTACATTATTTCAGTATGAATCTATAGCTGAATTACTGCAGGCTCTCTCCCGTGTTGAGACGTTGTAGCATCTCACTTGAATGGGTAAAGCAGACTAAATACGTTTGTTAAATGCAGCAGAAAAAACCCTCATATTGACTTGTTACTAAATGAGCTCAAACTGGAAACCTTTGTTCACCTCTCTGAACTGAACGGTAATTGCTCAGTGAGCTGAGAGTCAGCTGGGTTCGGGCAGTTTTAAATGGTTAAGTACACAGAAACGGTTAATTATCCGACTTGAAACTGAAACAGGAGAGTAGTATCTCCGTCCTCCCTCCTTCGTCCTCTTCATCATCGCTCAGATAGATGCACACTATGATCCACGAGCAGAAAATTCATTATGTGGGTCTTTTATGTGTGAGTCATGGCTTTCCTCGCGGGACCTGATTATCACTTTCTCTCTCCTAATTTCCCATAATTCCTGACCTGTTCCAGCTTAATTGACAATAAGCGATTTTTTTTCTAAAGTTCAGTTTTAGCCTTTTGGCTTCACTTTAATTTTGTCTGCCGAATCTTTCGGGATCACTTGAATATCTTCAATGAAAATATGAATCATTATTGAAAAATACTTGCTCGTTCGGATTATTATCTCAGAAAACTGAGGCTCAGAGTGCGGTTTGGGGGGCTTTTCAACTGCGTCTTTAAGCATGAAGCTGTGAAAACCAACAGTAAAGGGTTAGGGTTCCGCATTCAGGCCTTTGAGTTAGCTAAATATCATCATTGCGTTCTGGATTCTACGTCAATAGAGTTGTAGAAACCAGCAAAGGGGGCCCTCCTGTCAATTATCTGGCTGGAAAATGTGGGGAAAGGCCTGGTCTAAAAGCAGTGGATGTCAGTCCTGACTCATTCTCTTGGCAGATTTAACCAGATCATGTTTGGCAGAGGTTTCATGACTCAGCTCCACCCTCACGCTCTCCATCCCAGCACATTCTCACTTCTCTTTTCACATTTCTCCTCCTTCGACGTTACTCTGCTGAAACACAATATCGCAGCAGCTGCCCTTTCCTTTCCTCATGCTTTGGTGTTTTTGTCCAGCCATGTTTGACATTTGTCTTTTTCATACTCCCTCTGTCCCTCCGATATCCTAACAAAGGTTAGGTGGCATTAATGATCATTTGGTACCAAAATCGAAGCTCTCCAGTGCTATAATTACACAGGCTTTGGGAAATGTCTCATTTTTGTGGGTGCGAATGCTTCAGTGCTCCGGCGGCTTTTGGAGAATCTGCCATGAAATGTGAAAAAGCCTCATCTGCTGCTCGGATATAACTTTTGTCATTTTCTGACTTCCTCCAAAGTCTGCATGAAGTTGCATATCATTTTGAGCACACAGTAATGGCCTCCAGATGAATTATTACTGACTCTTACGATTCCGCTTTCCCTCCTTCAACTGCCTGCATTAATATTTGAAAATACTGTCTTAACCGTTTTTTTTCTCCAGATATCTACATATGTTTGCGCAATCCCCACATTTTCTTCCACATCTTTTCCTTCAGGTGATATCAGTAAAATTGATCATTTTCCTGCAAACCTTCCTTTTATTCTGTGGGAACTGGGTGACTCTGAGCATGAGGCAGTGATGGGGAACGCGGGCTGCCTCTTTACATGCATAATCAGTGTAAACCCACACAATCGTGGCGATTAGCCTGCATGGCGTGACTCTCTCGGGGCTAATCCCGATTCCTGCCGTATTTCTAGGGCAAGCAAAGAGACGCTTTCAGTCAGTCCTTCAAGTGCAGATTAGACTGGACCCCCACTGACCCTTAACCTCTTCCAAAAAGGCTAAACAAGAGAAGGTTGGCCAATTGATACTAGTCTTTTTATACTCTGCAATGCGTCCCTCCGATATCCCAACAAAGGTTAGATCGATTATCTCTTTGTACCAATATTCAAGCTCCCCAGTGTTCTAATTACTGGGGATTATTCATCTGGCCAATTGAGCAGACTAATAAACAAACAGAGAACAGGTCTTCTGTGCTTTTATATTAGCTTTGCCTGCTTTTTCCTGTTTGCTGTCTCATAAACCCCTCTCTGACACTTTGAAAAAATATGGACCCTTCCTTTTGCCTCGTTGTCCTCTGCTGGTATCTTTCTGCGTTGGTCACATTTTCTGACAACTCGGCAGAATTCTCCCCCTCTCTTCCTTTCCGTGCTCGCTCTTGTTTTCATTCGTTTAAGACCTCAAACGTTTTTGGTCTCCAGCTACGTTCTCCTCCCCTTCCCCCCACTCTCCCTCGGCGCTCGGTCTCCAGTTCGCTTTGACTTCATTGCTTTTCTTCTCTTCCTGTGGAGCTCCTTCAACACAGCTTGATACAAGAGGCCCCTTTGATTACAATCATTCAAAGCAGGCTATTTAACCTTTCCTGCGAATTTAAAAAATGTAAAATGAATTGAAAATTATAACCAGAGTAGAGGTTATACTCAACTGTGTTGATATTTTTTGAGTGTTTACATTCTTGGTAGTTATTCTGTGTTTGCATACTTCCACTTCAGCCCTTCAAAAATACAATCGTTTCCTGTTGTTCTAGCTCGATTATCCTAATCTTACAGTAATGTTCCTAAATACTACAGATTTGATGGTTGTTCACATGATTGGATCACTAAATTAGACGTATCTACACGGTTTAAAACATGCGAGGATGTTGTTTTGTGATTTGTTATCGTTCTTCAGACCTGTCAGCACAACTTTGGCTTCTAATTGGCTTCCAAAAGTTTCTGCCAAAGATATTTTCACAGGTGTCTGTTCTCATTACAGTCGGCGCTGCAGTCTGTGTATGTGTGTGTGTGTGAGGAGAAACGACAAGAAAGTGAAGACAGGCATAGAGTAAATCAACTGTGCTGGCAGAAAAAATATCAAATAAGCTAACCGTTTAGCTTCCAGTGAGGTTTTTAAAGAAAAACAGTTCATATACTGATGAAAGACATTAACCAAAGTGGCTTTGACTGCACAAATCAGGGTAAATATCTGATATCTGAGTTAAGGAATTGCTTGGAGCATCCTGTATTACAGAAAGGTGTAATAGTCTCCCTTTATGGAGATGCTTTTCTTTCATCAACAGTAAAATCTCAACTCTTGATACCTGTGTAAACATTTCAAAGTGAGGATCTTTTGACTTGCTTGGTCACACTATTAATTTTTCCCTCGTATTTTCCTTCCGCCAACCCCTTTTTGAAGCCTCCACCGGGGTTCTTGTTGAATCGGACAGCTGCTGTTTTCAACTCCGGCTCCCTTGAGGAAAGCCTCGACATTACATGTCTAACACATTTCTTTATCACAACATGGCTCTGTGTCGCCTCGTGCCTCTCAGCTGCCTCATGACTCATACACGTACACAACAGAAGTCCATTTATAATTTAAAAGCCTCCTCATTATTCTGCACTTGTTTTTTTTCTCCGGTTGAATTCATATCCGTTGAGAAACCGTCGTTTAGAACCCACATTTGTTCAGTTTTAGTCCTTTTCTTGGCTTCCAGATCTGCGTTGAGAGAAAATTTCACATCTGTCTGCAGCATCGGATCCAGCAGAGTGGCTCCTGATTGCAGCTACTTGAATATGTTTGTGTAATTTGATCAAATTAGTGTTTCTTGGTTTTTCCGCAGATCTGTTACCCCCCCTCCCCCCATCTTTCTGCCCATTGATCGGCCCTCCTCGGTGCTTTGGGGGTCTCCTCCCTCTCGCTGTCGGCTGTTTGATTCTGTGCAGAGCTGTCCAGAAGGTGGTGGTGCTGAAAATCCAGAGCTAGGCGAAAACAGATCTCTAATCTCAGTCAGTGGCTCTGTTGGTGCTGTAGTACGCCGCGTTTAAACGAGTGTCTGCTCTGAGTGGCTGTGCCGCACACAAACAGAAGCAAGAGGTCGGCCCCGGTGAACTCTGGAGCTGCTGTGAATGGTTTTTATCTCGTCTGAAAGCAGTGAATCATCGAACGTGTGTTTAAAGGAAGAAGTGTTTACACGACAGGCAGCTCGACCTATTTAATTCCAAATGACTTAAACGATAAAAAAGATTAATAAGGTAATAAGATTCGAAGAGGAGAACTTTTTAAAAAAAATAAAAAACATTAATGTGCTAAATTAAATCCCTGCCAAACTTGTTTCTTCAGAAAAAAGCAGTAACTTTACCAGGTGGCTTCATCACATTTTGGTCTCTCAGGTATTTCTTTTTTGATAACACAAGTTAGTATCAACTCTTTTTGTTAGTTTTTTTTCAACAAAGAGGATTTTTTACATAAATCTGACGTCATTAATGTTGTGCTTCAGAACAGAAATATGATCCCAATTCTTTCACGTGCGTTAGGTTTAGCTGTGTGAAAAACTAGTCTGTGTTTAGGTCCGATTAAAGTCTGCAAGGTGAAATTCAACAGAATGAAAGGCTTTGTGAATTGCGTTGTGAACTACACTTGATCATGAACTGAGGGTCAGAGAGGAATGCATGTCCAAAAGGGACGAGGTCTGTTCCCATAGAGACCTGGGTTTGTGAGTCAGCCTGTCCGGGCACCTGGAAACAGTGAGGGAAACCAAACCCACGTTTTTTTTCTTCTCGTATTCTAACGAAGTCCTCTCCTTCTTTTCACACGCAGTGTCTCTCTGGGAATGATGGCGTCGCCAGTGTTGCCGTCCTCTCTGTCGCAATGACGATGCCGTTCAGCCCCCTGTCCAGCGACGAGGAGCACCAAAGGATGCTGGGAAACAACAGACGCCTCTACCCCGGGGCGGAAGACGAGGAGGAAGAGGAGGAGGAAGAGGAAGAGGAAATGGAAGAAGACGAACGCGACGAGGACAGAGAGGAGGAGAACGGCGAGCTGGACGGGGAGGAGGAGGACGAGGAGGAGGTGGTGGAGGAGGTCAGGCGGGGGGGCGTGTCCCGGATGGGCCGGGGCGAGGGACACAGGCAGTCCACAAAGATGGCTGCGCGGCCCGCCGCGGATCGAAATGTCAGGCCGGGGAACCCGGGGCACACCTCGAACCCTTATTCGTCCAACCCGGCGCCCGCTCACCAGCCGTCGGCCAATCAGGCGCAGCCCCCGCAGCAGCAGAGGAGGCTGAAGGAGCGCAGCGCCAACTCCATGGCGTCCGAGGACACGCACATCGCCATGATGGTGTTCCGCATCGGCATCCCGGACATAAAGCAGACGGTCAGTGTGGTCACCGCACTCCCACCGAAGGCCGCCCACATGCTGAGACAACCACACCCAGTACACGCACACCCCCACACACCATCAACCAATTCAACCAACACCAATTCTTTAGTTGGAAACCTGAGAGTAAACCAGAGTAGTTCAAAAGTATAAAAATGTAATTTATTAGGTTTTATTTAGGTGTTTCATGGGTATTTGTCTGTTTGGTAAGTGTCCAGTCCCTCAAAAGGACTGGACACGACTGAGTGCTTATTTGCCAGTTACTTACTAACCCCAACCCTGACATGAACAGGCCAGGTCCTAACTAATGCAGATAACCTTGGAATGTGTTAACAAAGTTTGTGTGTGTGTGTGTGTGTGTGTGTGTGTGTGTGTGTGTGTGTGTGTGTGTGTGTGTGTGTGTGTAGACATAATGAGGTGTGTCTAAAGAAACGGAGAGAGAAAAATCTATGGTTACAGCCAGAGAATTTAACACAAAAGTATAGTTCTAAAAGGAATAAGACAAGTCATTTACATATATTATGTGATAGCATACAATGCTAAAGTGAGTAATTATAGCCAAATTCTAACAGGAGGCTTGTCTGAATAACTACAGTTGAAAGAGAGGCCCAGAGCCCAGAAAACAATCCACTAACACCAGTTTTACCCAGTTTTACCCAGTTTTACCCAGTTTTACCCGTTATGAGTCAAGGAAAGGTTTATACAGTGACACACAGGAAGTCACCGACCCCACCCGGGTTTTCTGTCCAACATTACTCCTCTGAAATAACCCAGTGTGAGATGGTTGGTGGGACTGACTTAACTGAGCGGTGTGGCGTTAGAAGTGAGCCCGGTGGTGCCTCTGTTCTCAGGCTAATCCTCTCATTACCATCCCGATCTGTCAGTTTGGACTGTGAGCCGCAGAGCCGTCGAACTCCTGCAAGTTTTGATCACACAATTCTCTCCCGTCAGCAGTGGGGAAACAAAGAGAATCTCAAATAGTTGTCGTCAGAGTTACTTATCAAAGAGAGAAGACTTTCAAGGTGACCTAGCTTCAGAGAGGAAGAGGGAAAGAGTGTGTGAGGCAACACAAAAATGCATAGAAGAGCCATCTGGATGAGAGGAATTTGGTTCTAAACACACTGAGAGCAGGAAAGGGTTCAAAGATAGTCAAAGAGAGGGAAGCTGAAGCGAGGAGAAGAGGGTAACAGAAAGAGATGTGGAGTCGCTTTGGTGGATGTTTCCAAAAGAGCCTTTATACGGTGCAATAAAGCAAACAGTGAAAAGCCCTTTTTCTGCGGGACTGGATTTTAGAGGGCTGTCCAGAATCACGACAGACCAATCTGTAGTCGCTCACTTCCCAGACGTGGTCTCGTATGACGGCAGCACAAAGCCTCAATCAGAAGTGGGGCTAAATGGGCTTCCCGGGTGAAAGCGGCAGCTGCCAGCGTGTAAAGCACACCCTTCTGCTCCACTTCAGCTGCAGTCCTCTCTGCCAGCTCCAAGACGTCCCCCCTCCCTTTTAAACACCAAATCTCAGATACCTCAGATATTTTAGGGTGAATCGTGGTCATACACAGGATTTTACTCATATTCAAGTGATGAAAAGCATCATACAGGGAACTCAGAGCGCTTCCATGAATGTTTTGTTGTAAAAAATACCACATGGCAAGGATTCCTCATCTTCCTCATCAAAAGCTGAATCAGACCACTTTGGTGTTTTCACAAAGGAACACGTTCCCCGCACATGAGCCTTTTTTTGGGTTCACACACCTGAGTTTTAAGAGTTCTTTAAGTCTACATTTACGAGCAAAAAGGAAAATACAAAAAAAGGACTGTGTAAATGTGTTCGTATGTTATATTTACCACCTGAGTGGTCCATGAGTGCATCATTTGACATTTCTTCCTCCCTCATGCTGCAGCTGGATGATTTATTATTGATCTGTGCATGGGTGTTTTGCAGCGTGTGAGTGTGCTTGATTCGGCATTTTAAAATGCAACCATAAATAATTCACCCAATCTCTTTTCCAACAAATTGGCATCATATTTTAATCATAAAACGATGGGAGAAGAATGCTCACTCATGCCTGAGGTCAGAAAGGAGCTAAACTGCCTCAAACAAAAAGATGCAGATAGGTACATAGATGTAGATTGGAGGTGGATGAAAGACAGTTGTGAAGATGTTTGAAAGCAAAAAGAGGGAGCTAAAGTTAGATGGATGGAGACGGAAATAGAAAAAGACGGCAAAGATCATGAGTTAATCAACTTCACAAAGTGAAGCAGGAATGAATCAAATTGGTTAAGTCAAATACAAAGAACAAAATTTACCCTGTAGTTTAAAGTAATTTTGCTAGATTTTGTAAAGTTGTTTTTTGTTTTAAAACTCACTGACAGTATGAAATGGCCCCAAAGCCTCCAAATCCCAGCCTCTAAAATTACTAAATGTTTTTATAATTGTTTTTCATAACTGAAAAATAAGTACAGGGTTCTGGACAAAAGCAATACATGCTAAAACCAATTGAAAACATGATGCCTGTGCCATGAAAATGACCCATAATTATATTACGTTGCTCAGTAGGATTTCTTGTTTGAATCTATTACTAAACCAAAAGGTTAGGTAGTATAAAATTATTGTAATTCAGATTTTCTGTTCAAGCCACTGGTTATGTGCATAGCTTTTAAATTTAGATATGGCATCAAAAACACCATTTTGCCTTTAAACATGCAAAAGCTGATGCAAAAGACAGTTCCAGGCTAAACCAAAAGCATTTGAATACACAGTTGTTAGTCTGTAATGGTCTCTTTACAGCTCCTTATTATGGAGCACAAACCAACATTAAGCTAACCTAACATCTACTGTCCCATGATCGCTAAGACATTTTTTACTGCCTTAAAGACATCGAATGCTGCATGTTATTTCAATTCAAACCACTAGGATTCAGACAAATTGTGTGAGGTGATAATGACACATAATCTTCTTACCTAACTGTACTCTGTGCTCAGATGTACAGACAGACACCAACAAATGAACAAGCTAAACTGTGGTCTCATACACTTCCTGTTAACATGAACTGGATTACATATCTTCTTACTTCCTAAGGTCACAGGAGTTATAATCCAGCCACACTACTGACATTTAGCCAGACTTGGCTCAACCTTTTCATGCCATTTTCCCAATTTTATCTCTCTGTCTTTAACATCAGGGGAATCCGACTTTTATCTTCTTTTATTTTCCCTCTTTCCCCACTTCTGTCTTAATGATTCCATGATATGCCTCCGTGCTCCTGCCATATTAGGTCTGTTATACATGTCATCTAATTTACTCTCAATACATTTTAATTGCTGCTTAATTGGGCTATAATGAGACAAGGGACGAGCTCTTGTGCTATAAGTGAGGGAGGGGGATGTGGAATGACAAAGTGCATGAAAATTCACTAATTTGGATGATGCACGTACACAAAACGCTGGTAAGTGTTGCGTTCATTTAGTCTTAAAGAGAGAGCTGTAACGTCGTGAATTCATTTAGATGAGCTCAGATGTGCACGTCTGAAATAACGCCTTTTGTGTATTCTGATTCCAGATTGATCGAATCGAATTGACTCTGATATGGCTGTTTATGCGAAAAGTCCACAGAGGGTACCACACGTCAGCCAACATTTCAGCTTCAGGCCGAGTGAATTTCTAGGACAGAATGCCTGAAATCATGATCTGAGAAAAATCATCAGTGTCGATTAAAACAAAAAAAAAAATCAACAAAGCATTAGATCTGAAACGCAGATGCTGACAGCTGTCTCAAACATTTCGACCGTGGCTTCTTTCCTAGACGGCACGAGGCCCGGGAATCAAACTCAACACACGTTCCCAGTTTGTACAGCCTGTTCTGGGTGGATTGTTGGGTATTATGTTACATTAAAAGACTCGGTTCTGCTTGCATTGCCGCAATGTGCTCGGATAAAGAACCTTTGAAAATGACCTGCTCTCCTCACAATGCCGTTTCCATTTGCTGCTTTAAAACTCGGCTAATAAAGCTGTTCTGGCTATCCCTCTCACCCCGCTGTCAGCGCAGACTGCAATGCTGCCACATTCGTGCTGACAGAGGGAGTGGAAGATTCATTAGTCCACTATATTTGTCACGAGGGAATTTGAGGCATGGCTACATGTCGGTGAAATCTGTGCCGTTGGGAGGGTGAAGGAGGAGCCCAGCTGGAGCATTTATCAGACAAGGAGGAAGATACAAACAGGTCAGAGACTTACGAAGGACATGATTCTGCACCATGACAGACATTTTAGTTTTTCTGAGTGTCGAGGACCTTCTGACATATCAGACCGGGAGGGAAAAGCAATATCTAAGCATTTAACTCTACTTCCAAGTGTCAAGTAAGCGCCGGTTATTTTTTAATTTGATTTATCGGAGTGGTCTATATAGCTTCCTACCATGAAATATGATCTATTGTCAGCAGGCAAAAGGCCACAATTCCTATTATCCCTGCTGCAGAAAGCCCTGTAAGTTTAGGATGAGTCATCAATATTCAAAACTATTTCCGGGAAGTGATAAACTCAAACATACTGCAGAGTACCTTCACATAGACTTTTTACAGCCTTCTGGCCAGACGGTGTATCCAACTAGTCATGTGATTTAAAGGCAACTCAAATAAATTCCCTGGTTTAACCACAAAAACTAGCAGATACTATTAATTCATACACTCAAATCTTAGGGAATATCAATGGGAAGTGTGAGTCTGTGCATCTTGATACCAGCAACAGTCTCTAGATCGGCGAATGGCTGAAGATGGAAAAAGTTCTGGTCCATTAACTCACTTTTGTGCACGGCAACGACAACTGTCTGTGTCAGGAGAGCCTGGTACGACCGTCTCCCAGCCGGGGGCCCGGGCGGTTTCTGGCTGCGGGTTTATTAGTTTGCAAAAACTCCGACACGCGCGGGGGATATTGGCACACGTCTGACGGGGGCATTAAACAGCGTGAAGCAAATGGGGTTTTTTCGCTGGCGTTCCACGTGAGCTGCGACCGTGAAAACAGCAGCTCTCTGGAAAGACGCGGACGCACGTTCAATTTGAAATGAAAATATACAAGTAAAACTAAGTAGTGGAAGTGAAATATCATTTCTTAGATGTGCCAGTCAGTAGCTATGCAGGACACAGTGTGTACCAAGCTTTACTAAAGCAATGCAGAGGCTGAATGGTGACAAAAGGAAGAGCCCCGCAGGTCTGTGGAGGAAGTGAGAGCCTAACAATGTGAGTATCGACGAGGGCTGCATGTGAAAATGAGGCTAAGATGACGGAGACTTTGGAGGCTGAGCAGGGCCGAGAGCAGATGACGGGAATCCTCGCTAAGAAATGTGTCCACTCTTCATCTGAACTTGTGAGAAAAAGGGGCTGGCTCCAGCGCCTAATAGGGAATAAATTGAAGGAGTGAGACACCGAAACAAGAAAGAAGTTAAAGGGTTATATGTGTGTGAGCGTGTGTGTGTATGTTTGGTGGGAGTTATTTCCCAAAAGATCTCATTAAAGGCTTGGAGTCCCCCCTGCTCTTGGCCTGCAGAAAAAGGGCCAGAGGGGTTGAGATAGTGAGAGCAAGAGACGGAGAGAGGAACGTCTCTTGTTTCTGCGTCGACAAGTGGCAGAACTGTTCCAGAAAGAAGGAGGGAGAGGGAAGAAGGATGGAGAACGAGACAGAGATAGGCATGGGGAGATAAAGAGCAGCATGGACAGAGTGAGTGGGTGTTTGTGAGTGGGAAAGTGTGATCACAGCTTTAGAAGGCAAGACAGAAAATTTCCCTCTGAGTACTGATAAAACCAAAAGGGAAAAGAAGGTCTTAATGTTGAATTAAGATTTGAATGTCAAACTCAATGTTGTTTGAAAGTGACACCGTGTAAAATCTGCATTCTCATACATTTAGATGCACATATTGTCAGGTCAGACAAGTAATTGTCAGGTTTTGGGTAGTCTCAAACACATGTCTCTTTCTGTTCTATTTCAATCGTCTGAAATCTGGAAGAATCCTGTGAAAACTGTAAAACGGGCCACCTGGAATGAACAGAATTACATAAAAGTCCCAGTCAACATGTCATAGACTAAACGAGGAGCGCAGATTGCATTCTTGCTATCATTTTTTATTGCTGATGGTCAGATGGAGAAGCCATATCCAGCAGAGATGTGAAGCAAAAAAAAATTTCCCGACAGTCAGAAACCAAACTGTTCTTTCTCAGAAAGCCAGAGGACAGGAAACTAAACACTCCAGTCTGAACAAAGCCTCAAAGACATCCCTCTTACATATCTTTCTCAAATATTCCTGCAAGTATAACGTTGGCGCGCGGCCATTTCTGTTGACATTTTGATTTTGCAACCCCTCTGAAAGCTCTCGGCCCAACAAAGGGTCCAGTTCAAACATGTTGGCTTTGATTCAGTCTGATCAGGTAGTTTGTAATACACCATAAGGACGCTCTTTGCCCATTTCTGCTTCAGCTTCTGGCAAAAAAAAAGCACCTCATTTCTCCTTCAGGGCTCCAAAGACTTGTCTCTGGGCCCTTAAAGTTCCTGCTGTTGTGCCCTTGTCATTTTTTCCAATTACTTCTTGGGAACAGAAATGTACTTCTAAAAGAAAAAGTCGGAGCCTTGGAGTCCACTTGTGAGCCAAACAGGGTACATGAGTGGAGAAGGTCCCCCAGGAGACATGAAATGACTCATATTGGGAGTCGGATTTAGCCAACATCTCTGTCCACAAACGTTTATCTGAGACGACTCTCCACACAAACTAGCTGGCAGGTGATGTGTGAACACTTTTGGCAGAGAAACAGGCTGACAAATGGCTGTTGATGTCATGGCTGCTCTGGCTCCCAACGAGCAGGGCAGGAACAATATTGTACTTGTGCTCGAAACAACGTGGCGCACACGCGCGTCTTTACCCACCAGAGGGTGCTCCAAACGCTCTTCTGAGAACACTACGACAGTGTCTGCACACGCACGGAGTCAAGTCCCACTCGGAGAAGAAGCAGAAAGAGCAATGAGTTTTAACTTTCTGCTCGTTTAGAGGCCGGGGGAGCTGTGATTTTTTTTTTCCAGGACGCACACAGATCAATAACAGCTACTTCAGACAAATCTCCCAACACTCCCAACACACCTGAGGCCAAAGGCAAAAAAGGAAATGATTTCCTCCACGCGCTCTGAAATGGTTTTTAATGGCCGACTGTGGGAATATTTAGCCTTAACTTCCACTTGCCTGCAGGGGCTTTAATTTGATTTGGGTTCCTTCCTTAATGGTCCTCTAAGTCAGGGTTTTTCAACCTTTTTTGACCCAAGGTACATTTTTTCATTGAAAAAATCACGAGGCACACCACCAACCAAAAATGTCAAACAAATCTGTAGCCGCCTATAGTAACACTATATTTATTCTTATCTTATCTTAAGTGTCTTGAATAGGAATCAAATAAACACAAAAATGTATTTTTATCATATTTTATATTTCTTCTTTCAAATTGCACTTAACATGTCCACTTCATTATGCAAAATTATATACAAAATCTAGTCATAAGGAATTATTGCATGATTACTCCACCAGTCACTTGTACAGCACAGACACTCAAAAATTATTTGCAGATAATTCATTCCCTATCAAAAAATCTTTTTAGACCAATTAGGTGAAATAGGATTATTTTCTACGGCACACCTGACCATCCCTCGCGGCACACTAGTGTACCGAGGCACAGTGGTTGAAAAACACTGCTCTAAGTGCAGTCTGCAGCACGTGTGCGCCCGTTTGCGTGCGTGCACGAGAGAGTCATAATCTGATACAAACAGGCAGACGTCTTTATCCCCTTTGCTCAAAATCTCTGAGACTGTCCTCGACTCCATTTCGACACGCTGCTGTAACACCCTGTTCGAGCCCGTGCACGCGGACGCACGAGCACACACCCTCCGAGTACCCCCGTCTCTGGTGGGAACACGGGGATGTCTCTATGGCAACAAGCAGCTTGCTCCGCTAAATGAACCGGTTGCCATGGCGACCGTGTTGTGCTGTGCACAGGCACGGAGCACGCTGAGTAAAATAGCTGGAGAAAAAAATGTAACGTTTGCCCCCCCCTCTCGCGCGCACGCCTCTGTCTCTGCAGGACGCGCGCAGAAATGTGTGTCAGGGAGCGTGTGCGTGTGCGCGTGCACGCGCACGTGTGTGTATAAAGAGATTAAAAACAAAGGGGGGGACAAAGACTGAGTGATTTGTGAGAAAAAAGGAGCGTTTGGCAGAAGATGAGAGCGCGTGCGGTAATGCAGTCGGGAGGCAGTGATCCCTGCAGCTGGCCGGACCGTGCACGCGCCAATCAGCCTGCTGCTGCCTCAAGGTCAGAAAAGCATCCCGGCAGGCAGCACTACGGGGCGAGAGGGGGGGGGGTGAGAGAGGGGAAAGAGGAAGAGCTGGGCTGGAGTAGAGCACTGCCAAAAACCGTCTGTCAGCCATCTGGGCAGAGAGTTAGAGTTATGTTCCACTTTGCTGACTGAGCCTCTGAGCCCGCACATGTTCTGGCCATCCACGACCCCACTGGAAACAGAACTGACATCCGTATCGTTTCTGCTGACCAAGGCCTCCAGGAATCGCCCACGCTACAGTGGTGCTGCCCACCCCGCCTCTGGCTATCTGTCTATCTATCTATCTACGGTATGAATGTGAAAGCAAACAAAAAAAAGCAAAATAAGGAAGTGGAAAACAACTTTTTAAAAGAAAATTAAATGTATTCACGTACAAAAAGAGTTTTCTAGTCAAACAGTTCAGGATGCAGCATTTTCCTTCTAAATTCCATGCCATCCTGCAGCATGCACTGCCATCTTCTGGTCTTTCCTCAGACGTCCTGCAGGGTTTAGCGTGAGACGCTAAACCCAGAGCGCACTCTGCCACATGACCTGAGCTCCACAGTGTGTTGTTGCGTTGTCATTTTTTGGGCTAAAAGATCCCCTGGTTTCAGGTTCCCTGCTCTGTAAGGTGCTTCTTTATTTGGACAGGAGTTCAGAAGCTCTGCTCAAAAGCTGAGGTCTTTTGTTGTTCTCTGGCACACTGGCTATCCTAGCTAACCAGGCCTTGCTTTCCCCGTGTGTGTCCTGCAGAAATGCCTGAGGTTTAACCCGGACGCCACCGTGTGGAAGGCCAAACAGCAGGTGCTGTGCTCCCTGACCGAGTCTCTGCGAGACGTGCTGAACTATGGCCTGTTCCAGCCCGCCACCGACGGCCATGACGCCAAGTTCCTGGAAGAGGAGAGGCTCCTCCGAGAGTACCCGCAGTCCTTTGAAAAAGGAGTGCCGTATCTAGAGGTACGGCTCCGGTATTGTATAGACATGTGCAGGGAAACATTGCAACAGTGAAAACGATGTGAAGCAGCCTGTGTGTCCTCAAGATGTCGTTGTTTGATCCCTGTGTGTCTCAGAAGGAGATAAATCTACTCCATGCTGAGGAGATGTCAGCCAATGACAGTCTGTGAGGATAGTGAAGGGAATTCGACTATTTCTGAGTATCTGTGATACATAATCAGCAGCTTCCGCTCCAAAATGGAGCTCCTGTGCACTTTATGTACAGCGCCGCATTCCCATTGGTGGAGGAACATCACAAGCATGTGGACTCACATTGTGTGTCCAGCGTCTCCTGTCCACATCCAAAAATGTTTCATCTCTCCGTTGAGCCGTTTGGTGTTTTAATGGGATTTCATACAAAATTCTAGCACAGGACCATGTAGTTTCCCCGATCTGTTAAATCCCACACCAGCTAATGTCTTATCAGCCTGAGCAGTCACTTTCCTTTCATGCTACATCATACTCAGTGGAGGCTCTGAACCATTTTTAAACTTCTTTCACGTGTCTTGTCTTTTGTGGAGCAGAGTAGAAAGCTTGTGTCGCAATCCAGATAAAGCTTGTCTCTACAATCTGCGGGCCCGTTTCGTGGATCTAGGCCAAAAGCTGAGAGAATTGAGGACAAAGGCCCTCTGTTTTGAGATTAACTCCTTGTTCCCCTTCTCTTTTTCTGTCCCTGTTTTTTTTTTTTTTTAGTTCCGTTATAAAACCAGGGTTTACAAGCAGACTAATCTGGATGAGAAGCAACTGGCCAAGCTGCACACTAAGGTATGAAACCAGTGTTCACAACCTTATTTTCAAATATGCATCATTCCGCCACCACCACACATACAATATATATACATGTACGCACAAATAATTTAAACAACAAACAAAGTCTCTTAAGAAATAAAAGCGTTCAAGCTGTTTTACATGAAACATGCATTTGCTCGCACATTGCTTTATTCTTTACTTCGGCCTGACTCGGTTCTCATCCTCTCTGCCAGGCCAGCCTGAAGAAATTCATGGATTACATTCAAACCAGCTCGGTGGACAAGATGGGCAAGTTCTTAGACAAAGGCCTGGACCCAAACTACCAGGATGCTGACACTGGCGGTGAGGAAACGGTGTCACACAGGTCACTGGATGAACCTAAACATGCAAATAAAACTATGTTTCCACTAAATTAGCTTTGATTTGCAGTATTTAGGTTAGTAAAGCTAACTTAATCTGTAAACTCTCTGCAAACAGCGAGCCTCCCCCTCTGTTTTTCTGCAGTATGTTGTTCTAACACTTTGTGGAGGATCTGAGCCAGTGCTATTCGCGACTTAGTGGCTGGGATCCTGTTAATGATTAGTGGGTGCAGCAGACGGCTCATTTACAGTTTCGGGTGTTGCTCTGTGCCACTCCAGCTGTTCTTGGAGCAAGTGTCAAAACACAGACCACAGCCTGTAATCAGGGGTGTTAAACAGACTCCTCCACTCCACACTGGGGGGCGACAGTGAGTTATTTTTTTTAAATAACTTACACTGTCCCGCCTTTTTTGTTGCATTACTTTACTAGCACTTCTCCATGATTCAGAAGACTCAGATTGAAAGAAGACATACTGGGGAAATGCATATTGGGCAAAAACCTTTTTCCTGTAGCTGCTTTGTACATCTCCATTTAAAATGGGGCAGTTGTGCGTGTGTTTCCATCCATAAGTGGATGTTTTTAATTCACAAAATATTAATGTTGAATTACCAGAAGCTATTTGTAGCTCTACTTAAAAAAAAATCTGTTTAAATATTTAATATACATGTATACTTACATGACCAATCATAGCATGACTGTAAATGAACCAATAGGCTTTTAAATAATTTCTGCTACAAACCCATGGTTTCCAGGAGTGACTGTATGGGATGGAATCATTCTGCTAATGGGGGGGTACTTTTTGTAACTGCCCCGTGGGAACATCCTGTCATTGTTTATTTGGCAAATGATTTAAACCTTAAGTGAACCCAAGCTTTTCAATGATGACAACCAACAGATATATTCTTATTTGCCAAAAAAAAATCTTGTTGCCATGACAGCCAGCTTCCACCAAATTGTTTTTCTCAAGAAAATCTTTAACCCTTTAAAGCCTGAGCCAATAAAAATCAAAATAAAGAGAATCATTTTTTTTGTTCCAAGTCTTTATTTGGCCCTTTAACAAAATTAATAATTTATTACCGTTCGATGAGTCAAATTTATTATTATTATCATCATCAGGTATATCTGATTGTGTGCAACAGGGTTTTGAGCAAAGTTTTCACCATTAAATTATACAAAAGGTCTCAGATGCTTTAGGAAGATTTCAGAAACCAAGAATATCAAAGATGACACATATAGCATTATAGGGTTAAATGTTTATATTTAAGGAAAGTACAAATCACGACTCTTGCATAAGCGTGCTTCATTTGTGTGAATCACCTGCTCCACTCTCTGAATATACTATAAATCTTTCCTTATGCATTGCTCTTTGAATCCAACCTGCTGTCCTCATGGTGGTGGCACCAAAGAGCACATGGGCCCAGAGTCATGTTTTATATCCCAGAGCAGTCAGATGAAGGATCAATAGTTCAGCCTGAGCGGAATCATCTTAAACTCAGTCTTTTCCCGATCTTTACTGCTTTTACAATGAGTAAAAATCTGTATTTCTTTTACGATCTAAAATACCTGCGCTTGATCAAAGCAGATGAGGAGTTTTCCTTTTTAAAAAAAAGTTATTTTTGGTCTAATCTGCAGCACAAAAACACAAACAGAGAAGAAAACAGGAGGAATAATGAGACCTGCCCTCTGTCCCGTCCCCGTGTGTTTCCCTCAGAGACCCCCCTGACCCTGGCGGTGCAGTGTGAACCAGGCGGGGGGGAGGCCCTCCGGGTCCTGGTGGACGGGGGGGCCCACATCGACTTCCGTGCCAAAGACGGACTCACACCGCTACACAAAGCTGTTCGAGGCCACCACCACGCAGCCCTGCTGGTAAACACTCACACATGTTTCTGTCTGTTTTATATTCTTTTTTTACAGAGATTCCGTTATCTAACTGTTTTGAAAAATAATGAGTTTTTCCTTTCTCATGCTATATAAAGAGAATATTCCACCTACACTCCTGTGCATATGTGCATAATGGCTATTTGCCCTGAGATTGATACAGTATTCGCATTTTTTTCTGCTTCCACATAATAAGTAAACAAGCCGAAGACAGAATAAACAGACCCTCCCACTCGGCAGTCCACACCCACCCACACGGAAAATGTTCTCCGGCGAAAGAACAAATTGCCTTGTTTTAAAGGGCCGCTGGTGCGTTTGTCCAGATTTTCAGCTCCCACTTTGCAGAGAATCCAGGATGCACTAATTCAGAGGGCAGTGATGGGGTGTATGTAAGCTGCAGCTAAGAGAGCTCACACCACTTTTTTTGCTTATATCATTTTTGAATAATCAGAATTTCGTTGGGCATTTCCTGCTCATTCCCCCAGGTCCTCCTGTCTCTGGGTGCGTCTCCGGACTACAAAGACCGGCGAGGGCTGACGCCGCTCTACCACACTGTGCTGACGGGGGGGGACACCTCCTGCTGTGAAACCCTGCTCTACCACCGGGCCAAGGTGGGCATCAGGGACGAGAACGGCTGGGACGAAACACATCAGGTGAGACCTGGCTGGTAAAGCCCCCAACCCCCACCCAAAAACATCATAACAATTCAATATAAAGTGTTCCCAAAGATTTTGCGCACAAATTAAAACACAAATTAACACGACGCAGCACATTTTTTTTAGTAAGAGGCTCCGCTTGCGTACGAATCCACATTAATTCCTTCATTTCTACCTTTCAGAGAGTCATTTTTTCTAATTATTTTCGAGGCTTAGGTCAGCTCTTCTAAGTGTGCTCTGTGTTTCAGTGTGTGTCTACATCAAACCCATTCATGCCATGAAACACGACACCCGTCACCCCTCATCCGGCCCATCCCACCCGTGCGCTCTTATATCACCTCTGTGAGGTGGACAGTCGAGGCCACCGGGAAAAAATGGAGGTATCGGCCAACCTGTCTGGGTGTCCATTCACACTTCATCAACATCGGCCTCCGCTGCTTTGTGTGTCAGCCTCTGCCCATCAGCGTGTGTGTGTTTACATATTTAAAGAATTATCACGTCATGTCATTATTCAAAACCTGATTTTTCCCTGTCAGGTCGGATTCATATCAGTCCTTTAAGCCTGTTTGATTTCACAAAAATGTAATTATTAATGTCCATTCACATCTTTTTTTGTGATGAAACTTGTAGTGGAAATGTAAAGAGAGAATCAGTTTTCAGTTTTTGTTCAGGTTTTATGTGTGTAGCCGTTTAATAAAGCCTCCTATCGCGCTGGTTTTCATTCCAACTGTATCTCACCTTTTTTTCTCTCTGAGTTTGAGCTGCTGTTAATTAAATCTGGTGTCACTTTGCAACTCTCACCTTGTACTTTCTCGGTGTCACCATCCTGTCCTTGTCTTGTTTCCGGCTACATTAATCCGTTCTCTTTTTGGTGCATCGTGTTTTCTCTGTCGTGTTTTTGTTTTTTTTGGGGTGTATTCGTCTGCTCCTTTTTCGCCGTTTTAACGCCTAGGCCTGTCAGAATGGGAATTCACAACATCTGGAGCACCTCCTCTTCTACGGGGCGGATTCTTCCTCCCAGAATGCCTCTGGAAACACTGCCTTGCACATCTGTGCTTTATACAACAAGGTATTTGACTGAGTAAATGACGAGTCACTTTCTTGTTAAATCTAACTCCAGTAATTCAGTTGTTTAATCTACCCAGATTTATGCTTTTCTTAAGCATTGCCAGCCTTAATATGGGCTAAATATGCATATTTAAAAATGTGTGTGCATTTAGAGAACATTGATCGGTGCTGTTTTCTGCAGGAAAGCTGTGCACGAATTCTGCTTTACCGTGGAGCCAATAAAGACACAAAGAATAACAGTGGTCAGACCCCTTTCCAGGTAAGGCTTAGGGTTAGTGCCTGGCTGGGTAGGCTGAGCATTTTGGATTTATATCAGAGCACTGGGATTATTTCACTCAATGCCATGTTTTTGCTGTGAGGCACACAGAGGTCTCAGGTGTCATGTGATCCCAAAATCTGGACGCGTTGAGTCTGTAAAGTTAGGAAAAGCCAGCTGAGCTAATCTTTTATTTTCTCTTTCACATACTCATAAATAAGCACTGAAACAACAAAGAAGCAGCAGCAACTTGGCTGGAACATGAATTGATCTGTGTAGCTTCCTAAAACTAATGAGCAATAATAAAAAAAAATATGCATACGCATATTTATTAAAATGAGAGCACATTTTGTTGAAATTTTAGTGAGAACTAATCAAGCTTATTTTCACGTTGCACTCTCAAAATTGCAAAACCAGAAGCATCCCAGACAAGTTGTTAAATATTCAATTAGTATTAAACGTACTCCAAATTAAAAAAAAAAAATTAAATGTAGGAAATATGTTAAATTAGGTTTACATTACTCAATATCCCTGTAAAAGTACCAGCATTAACAATAGCCTTTATGGATGTTTTTGTTTAATTTGAAAAGGTTAAGTTTTTTTTATTCAGGAAATATCATTTTTTCCCCCTTAATCAAAGATATATTCTCATTCTCTTCTGAAAGCTTCTTCAGTTTCTAAAATTCTTCATTTCAACAGCAGATAAAAGTGTTTGTGTCTTTCTCTTTGTTTGTTTGTTTGTTTGTCAGGTGGCTGTCATGTCTGGGCATTTTGAGCTCGGGGAAATTATCAAAAACCACCGGGACACGGATGTGGGTAAGTCCTGTTCCTCCATAGCTCTGCCCTCACCGCCTGAAGCATACTGAAATGTGTTTGTACATTTCAGTTAAGCTTCCAAGTTTTTTAAAGGCCTTTTCACCCAATTCTTTCAAAGTTCCTTTTGTGGAGTCTCCAAAGTACGCCCCCCAGAGGCGGGAGAGCACCCGGACCCTGACGATACCCCACCCTCACCCTTTCCTTCGGGCCAACAGCGACAACAGCATGAATCTGCCCGACTGGATGGCGGTGCCCAACGCCCCGGGCACCAACATCGTCTCTGTGCAGGTATCCTGTCCATGTTTCACCTCTGATCAGATGGGATTGCTCAATCATTTTACCCAAATGAACGGTTTAAAAGCTTTTTTTAAAACGAGCTTTCCATAAATAGTTGTGTAAAAGACAGAGTACAAAGCAGTGGAACACCTTTAATTGCTAAAAGAGCTCTTGAATGTTTCCCATGGCAAAAAAAGAAAAGGTGCACTTTGGGTTAATTGGCCGTTCTAAATTGGACACAGGTATGACTGATTGTGCTTAGCTGCCCGTCTCCCTCTGGGTAATCCCTGTGATGGACCGGAGATCTGTTCAGGGTCTTTTGGCGCCTTTCACCCAATGTCAGCTGGAATAGACTCAAAGCCTCAAACAAGAGAAAGTGGGCATAGCATAGAGAATAGATGGATAACTGGATTAGTGGCACATGAGCATTATCACCTACTCATTTGACAGAAAAACGCTTTTAATTATTCTTATCTCCGTCCCATCTTAGTTATTGCTCAGAAAAATGTCTCTTTGTCAAACAATCAAATGTTTAAAGACATTAAAAAGGTTGGACTCATTTACCATGTTCACAGAAATCAGAATCTGGATTTTTTTTTCTCATAATCAGATATTGATATTTTTTAAAATTGTGAGCTGTTAGAGCCGAGGACATGTAAAGAAGAAAAATGTAATACCAGAGAAACTAGCACAATTATTAATCAGCCTGGGTGTTTAGCTTCAAAATATAGTTTAAAGAGGCATTTGGATGTAAATGTAAATCCATTATTCTTATTCTCTTTTCTTTCTCAGGGCTACAAACATACGGGAACTCTGCGGAGCTCCAGCAGTCCCAGAGGAGCCCGGACGCGCTCGCCTTCGCGAGGGAGGATCGGAGACAAGGAGGACCGGAGCAGGCAGAGCCGGCGGCAGGGGTAAGGAGGCAGAAACTCTCTCCTCCCCTCTGAGGAGCACAGTGGCTTTACATCAGCAGATCGTGCGTCCTGTGAGACTTTCTGCTTTGAGTCTGTTAATCCTCAGACAGACCTTGAAACGTTTTAAGATGAATTACAGGATTCAAAGTCCAAAAGGTAAATCTATTAAGTTTCAAAACCCATCAAATTGTCAGAGACAGAAATCTGTTTGGATCAAATAAAAAGTCCAACCACCTGGAACTGTTTTTGCAGTTAAATGATGTGAACATTTTGTAAAGATGTCTCTGTGCAGAACTATTTCTGCTGAAATTCCTGTTTCTCGTCTACTAGTTTAAAACTAAGAGAATAAAACGGCTCTGAATCAATTTAATACTGTCTGGTTCACAGCATGGATCAGCCATAAAGATAAAAAAAGAACATTTTAAATGAAAATAAATGAAATGATATGAAGGAAAACAGCTTCTTTTCTGATTTGATATTTTTTACGTTTTCTTTCTTTTACATTAGTTTGTAATGATAAAAGTTGAAAGTTTATCGTGTGTGATCTGTTTTCTCGTTTCTCATGTTAACCTTCGGAATTTTCTGGCGGAAAGTGGAAACCTCTGGATCTGGAGAAGCTTATTTAAACCATTCAACTGTAAAATCAAGTAATTTGAATGAGACCTAATAAAGTAAAGATTAAGAGGCTTAGACAGCCCCAAATCCCAGAGAGTAGAGAAGCTACAACTGATTTAGTCGCGTAACTTTGAGGGGAGTTTGGAATCATGAAGTCACCTCTCTGCTGCCTAACCCTAACCCTGACCCTAACCCTAACCCTAACCCTGACCCTGACCCCTCTCTCAGAGCTCCTCCGGCCAGCACCACCGTGCAAACTGCAGGCCAGCGGAGGCGGCTTTACAGCGCCGTCCCAGGACGAGTCTTTGTCGCCACTCGTACGCACTCGGCACAGGGAGAGCGGGAAATAAGCTTCACTAAGGGAGACAGGGTCAAAGGTGAATATAGAAGCCTCATCACACCATGGTTCCCCATGTCTATGTCTGCATCATACATGTACATATATGCATCACTTTGTCTGTATGTGAATTCGGGGTCTCTCTCTGGTATTTTGATCTCTCACCTTGCACCGACATCACCACTACTGAGGCCTTGTTTTAAATAGGCCACACTCCGAGGGTTAGCAGGGTACGAAACAGGTAGTTCAGACGAGTGCACACACAAAAAGATTTAAGGTAGGGTTTGGCCTGGCCCCAAACGGTTCCTTATAGCAGCTGCTGACTGCCCAGATTTAACAATTTCAGGGATGAGATTCAATTAGCAGCTTTTAAGGTAACACCGTTTAGCTAACTGTCGACATATTATGGACAGAAAGGCAGATGCTGCCTTCTGATAACATTTAGCATTTAGCTAATGCTCGTCACTCTTCGTCCACACGTCGTTATCGAAATGCCAAACTTTGCAAAAGCAATGGCTGCCAACAAATGCAGTACACGGCGTACAATCATAATCCAGCCAATCTATTTTAAGAACAACATTCAAGCCGATTTTAGCGTTGCGGCAGCTTTCCTTTGTTTTTTTTTGTGCCTCAAACTCACTTGGATTGATGACAGTGGGGACAATCAGCCAGGGCTCTTTGTGCAAGCCAACCCATAGATAGATAAGCTAACATGGCCATGGATATGTGGAAGTCTGCAGAAGGGATACTACGATGGCAGCGTGTGGATATACTGTGAGCATTTCCATCAAAACCAAAGATGGATGGAGTTCAGTGAGCTATTATTTTAGCCTTTAAGTAGAGAGGGCCTGCAACAGGTTTAAAACCATCAGCAGAGAAGACTAAAACATTGACCTGGTGTCGTCAGGTTAATTGTCAGTGGACCATAGATACATGTACAAACTTCAGTTGGATCTAAGAGTCTTCACATGAGTTTGTAAAATGGTCGTGTCCCAATGTGAGTGTAAGGTGTCCGTTTGTGTTTGTATTTAATGTCTGCAGGTATGAATTTATGTGTGTTTGTGAGTGAGTCTAAGGTGTCGCCAGGTATGTATGCCTTGGTGAGTATGTAGGAGGTTTGCATGTTGGTGTGTGTCTTCATTATTTCTGTCTTTATGACGTTGATGTCCTCTGGGGTTCATTTCTCATTGGTGTCTATGTGTGTCTGTGTTCGCACATCTCGTGTTTCCTTTTCTTGATTTGCTGCTGTTTCCTGCTCCCATCTCGTAGTTTTGAGCATTGGTGAAGGCGGGTACTGGGAGGGAACGGTCAGAGGCCGAACTGGTTGGTTCCCCTCTGATTGCGTGGAGGAAGTGGTGCTTCGAAGCCAAGATAACCGTTCAGGTGAGCACAAAATGCTCACACTCTACAGCAGTTTATTTCTTATTATGTCATCAAATTACATCCTCAATGTAAAAACTAAGAATTGGTCATATTTACATGTCAGAAATTGATATAAAACTTTTACACCAATCTCAATACCTTTTCCAAAATGCACCATTTTAATTAGTTAATCTGTGGTGCACAATGTTTTGCATCTGAAAAAAATGTTCACAAATTAAAAATGTTTAAAAAAATAAATAATTCACCCAAAGTGATGCAAACAGACACAACAGTTGCTTCCATTCAATAATAATTCAGGATTTTAAAACTGATTTAAAGTTTAATAAGCTAAAAATGACTGTATTACAGCAATCTAACCAGTTTAATCAACTAGCATGTACAGTTGTGTTCGAAATAATAGCAGTGCCTCGACAGCAGCAAGAAAATCACTGGTTTTATTAACATGTCAAACTCTATACCCCAGATAAGTTTCTGGGGGGTAAAATAAAGGTATAGAAAACCAACAAACCCAACAGGACAGCCATGCATACTGTGGATTCTGTGAAATTGAATGATTAACTGAAAAGGGTGTGTTCAAAAAAATAGCAGTGGTGAGTTCAATTAGAGAGGGCATCAATTAGGGAGGGTATTCTGGGAAAAAAGGGTGTTAACAGGTGATCCGTATTTAAGGATCAAGACAACTGGCATGCTGGCTGTGCATTTGTCCTGAAAAAACAAGGAAAATGGGTCGTTCAAGACACTGTTCTGAAGATGAGCGTTTCCTAATAAAAAAATTGATTAAAGAAGGGAAAACATACAAAGAGGTGCAGAAAATCATTGGCTGTTCAGCTAAAATGATCTCAAATGCCCTGAAATGGGAGCAAAAAACTGAAAAACGAGGAAGAAAAAGAAAGACAACCCCTCGAATGGACAGAAGAATAGCCAAACTGGCGAAGACTCAGCCAATGATGGGATCCAAGAGGATCAAGCAAGACCTTCAGTTGACAGTGAGTACTGTGACAATCAGAAGACGTCTTACTGAGGTTAACCTTCCAGCAAGAAGCCCCCGCAAAGTCCCACTGCTGAGAAAAAGACATGTGCAGAAGCGTTTACAATTTGCCAAAGAGCACATGGACTGGCCTGAAAAGAAATGGCATAATATCTTGTGGACAGATGAAAGCAAGATTGTTCTTTTTGGGTCTAAGGGTCACAGGCAGTATGTCAGACGCCCTGCAAACACAGAATTCAAGCCACAGTACTCACTGAAGACCATTAAGCATGGTGGTGCAAGCATCATGATATGGGGATGTTTTTCATACTATGGTGTTGGTCCGATTCACCGCATACAAGGGATCATGGATCAGTTCCAGTACATCAGGATCCTGGAAGAGGTCATGCTGCCATATGCTGAGGAGGAAATGCCTTTGAGGTGGACCTTTCAACAGGATAATGACCCCAAACACACCAGCAAGCGAGCAAAAGCATGGTTCCAGATGAACAAGATTCAACTGATGGAGTGGCCAGCACAATCCCCGGACCTTAATCCCATTGAAAACTTGTGGGCTGACATAAAAAGTGCAGTGCATGAGGCAAAACCAAGAAACGCTGAGGAATTGTGGAATACAGTGCAATTATCCTGGGCTGCAATACCTGTGGAACGATGCCAGAAGTTGGTTGACTCCATGCACCACAGATGTGAAGCAGTCATCAGAAACCGTGGTTTTGCAACAAAATATTAGTTTAGGATACTCAGCTAGGTTCACTTATCAAGAATGTCTTTGTTTGTACAGTACATTTTTGAGTTTCCAAGGAAAGATGGCAACACTGCTATTCTTTTGAACATGCCATTTCTTACTTTATTTGAAATATTATTATTATTATTTTAGTTTTGATGACTTTGCGCAATTGTTTTGCTTTGGAATAGAATGTACTGTGTCCCCAATGTATCTGTGTTCATTAAAGTACAATTTCTTTGAAGAATTTTGACATTTACTCATTTTTCTAAAGGCACTGCTATTATTTCGAACACAACTGTATGTTCTTAATGAGTTCGGCTGCAGGTGAGGAAAAAAGTCAATTACACAGGAGAAATAGTCTTGCAGTGGCAGTAATTCTATTAACTGAATTAAACGGCAGCTGTTGGAGCGAGCTGATGTCCTTTTTTTAAAAAATATTTTCAGAAAGCCGTGGAGAGCGAGCCAAAAGGTTGTTCCGCCATTACACTGTGGGATCTTATGACAGCTTTGATGCTCCCAGGTAAGAGCAGCTCGCTGAATATCCACCGCCGGCCGTTTGAGATCAGCCAGTTTCCCGTGGAAATGCACTCACATCTGCATTTTCCTGAGGCAGCAGCCTCATAAGTGAACTCTGCCTCTGGTACAAACTGGCTGACACTCCACACACGAGAGGAGGGTCAAGCCCAACACAAAAGCACTTTTGGGAGCTTGTTCTGACGAAAGAGGCCTTCAGATACTTGAATTGAATTGAATTGAATTGAATATACTTTATTGATCTCCAGGGAGAAATTGACTTCCAGTACAGCCCGTACCAAGATCAAACAAACAAAACACATAGACACAACAGTTCGGGAAGACTTAATCTACCTGTTCGGAGTAACGTTAGGACCAGCACAACGTGTCTCATTCTGGTCTTTGTACTCGACAATTTTAGTATGACAGCCTCTGATTCCGACCACTGTGTTCCTGAGTGCTCCTTCTCATGAGGTCAGTCTTCCCTCGCTGCGCCGGACGGTGTGACCGGTGCATCCCTGCAGCTGGAGCTGGAGTCTAGCTGACCCCGGTGTTACGCTGTTGGTTACAGGACCTGCTGGCAGGGCCTTGTTTGTACGGTAACATACTGTATACATCTACTCAGATGGGATGATTCATAGGTTCCAGTGCTACTTGTGAAGTGACTCATGCGGTGTAATGATGATGTCTGAGGGATTGTCGGCTTCATCCGAGAGCCTGAGAGTCATTCTGAAGCTTGTTTTGACCGGCTGGTTTCATTGAATTTGAAATAAGTGCAAAGGTGCACTTGGATTTCAGAATCACTTCCACTTGCTTAGTCCGATCTATCTGAGTTGCATTTAAAGAGTGGGTCATGTTGATTCTTTCAAACGGCTTTGATGATACATCTTATAAAATCACCAGATGATCAGAGCTGCCCTCAATGACCAGCAATCTTAGGTAATGCATGTGTATTACTGTCACCTGGGACCGGCCACAAATAATCCCCGAATAGCAGATTAGATCATTGGCTCTTTTTTTGGGTTTACACAGCTAGTCATCCTCCCACTGCAGCTTAATCAGCATCCAGTCTCACGCAGCTGTTTATTCTTCAAGAATTTTGGACTTTTTATAAGTAACAATTTTGATTTTTGATCAATTCATTATGCTTGTCCTAATTAACCAAGAAGGAGACATGAATGAACATCCTGTTTTTTGTTTTTTAAAGAGAGGATCTTTCTATGACAGTATTGTGCACTCACATTTAAGCATTTAGCAGATATTTCGATCCAAAAAGACTTACAAGGAATAATAAGAATTAACAATCAAGTACATTTTAAAGAAACATTTCCAAGAAAGAGTTACAAAGTCAACAGGCGTTCAAGGAGAAGTTTACTCAGAGTTGGTCTTCAAAAACTCGTAATTATAGGTGTCAATCCCAGGTTTCTCATAAGACCTGGAAAAGATCTTTCTATCTTATCTTAAATTCTCAAAACCAGAACACCACAAATAAAGCATCGGCTTTTCAAATGTCTTTACCATCTTTTTAGTCTGCACGCGAGTCATCAGCGGACTTTGGGTGTGTGACGTCTAATTACCTCAGCTCAGTATAGGGCAATTTTCTTTGATGTGTTGCATCACCATCGTGGCAAATCTCTTAGAAGCAAAATTCCAATCAGTGTCCAGTCCAGGTTGATTATTCGCAGAGTTTACGTCAAACTCCTGCTTTCAGCTTTTACTGGCAGGCTTTGTCACACTGCTCAGATCCATTCTCTCGTGTATTTTCATCACCAGCCACTTTTCATTGTACTCACTCACATGTTCTTCTAGCATGGCAGCACGCAGATAATCAGTGATCAAAGCCCCGTTGCTCTATAGACGGTGGATGGTGCGTTTGGCCAGGCCGGTGGGCACCGCTGACTCAGCGCCGCCCTCACACGGGCCTACTTTCACAGCCTTTATCGCTACATGTAATGTCTCACCTATTCCTCCTTTCATTCCTCCGTAATTGGCCGGATCTCTCAACCTTCCCTGCGTCCCTCCCTCGCGTTCTATTCATCACCGCACTGTGAACCCCCCTGTACTTTTTAATTTTCTTTCTATCACCCTCCCTTCCCCGTGGTGTCTCCATCTGGAGGTCAGACAGTGAAGGGCACTCAAGAAGAAGACGAGGAGGATAGGAAAAATATCAGCGTTCTGCGTTTAGCAAAGGAAGAGATAGACATCGGTAGTAATTCATGCCACAGGAAATGGTCAGAAAGTGCTCGGCCAGTTGGAAAGGAGTTGGTGTCTTCTTCAGTATCCTTCATCCTGACTCTGATTTTGATACTTAACTCTATGTCTGATACCTTCTGATAAACAGCCGTTGTTTTTTTTCCACTTTGACGTGGCTGATTGTGTATTGATGACTGAGCAGGTTGACTAATTAGGGTACAAAATCTCCCTGTTCTAGAGTCTCTAACGATGATAAAAGCTAACCACAACAGCACTCAGTTCACAGAGGGAAGAGTTTTAAAGGGAGGCTTTAATAATGCTCAGTGCTTTTGAAATGACTGAACACATGCTTATGTATTCTTTACAGTAACTAAGAGGAATAGCACCAGATGTTTGAAGTGATTTTGTCAGCCACTTTTAAACTTCTCGTCATAAACCAAACCACAAATACGTTCAGATTATGTTAGAATGAGCAGTCATATTGCCTGGTAGTTTGATTTCTAGTTCAAAAGGGGGTGCATTTTTTTCCTAGTCTCACAGAAAAGTAAAATACCTACAAGCTAATTTCTAATCAAAACTCGTCCTCATCTCTGAAAGATGACAAATACCCCAAAAAGCTCTTAAACATCTAAGACATTATTAGAAAAGACTAACAAGCAAATTAGATTAGTAACTGTGCAGTGCCCAAAGCTCTCAGGGCTTCCCACGTGCATTTAAAGGAGACATTTAGTACTTTTTTAATTTCTGTTTTGTGTCTGAAGTCACAACCAAATTAACTACAATTTGGAAACTCTAAATGTTTTGCTCTTTGTTTTGTGCCGTTTGTGTTCTGAAACGTCCAAATGACTGACCCTTTCAGATTTTTTTTTAATCGGGTTATGTCATATGTGAAATTAATCCTGCCACCTCCATTTGGCCTCACCCTCACTTTCCTGCTTGTATTGCACAGAAAAACCCTGCTGTCAGCTTAACTGAGCACCGTGCATCTTATAACAACATCTAGCCCCAGAGGACATAAGAGCCGAGTGGATAAACTTCATATTTGAGGGTAATGTTCCAGCAAGAGCTAGCAAAACACTGTGTGTGGCACTCACTTTTCATCCGCATCTCCAACTAAACTGGGCCGGATCATTTCCAACTTTCTGTGGAAACACACACAAATAGTTTGAGTGAATTGATAAATGGTCTGCACGCATTGCTAAAGCCAATGTTCATCTGCTTGGTTTATTATTGCTGATGAAAAGTCAGTTCTTCACCTGTGAGTTGGGTCCATTAGATTGTCCATCAGAGGCCCAGCAGGTCGTGGTTGCTGAACTTTCTCAAGCTCTGAGTCCGGCTCCTGGTGTTTTTTGCTCTGTTCTGTGATTTAATTCGACTGATTTCGCTCAGCAGTTTCAGTTCTGGGGGGCTGCTTGGAGAGCGGGAGGACACAGGAGTGGGAAGGATGGAGGAAGGGATGAAATAAGGGATGGAGTAAGCGGCTGCTCGCTTCCCCCAATCCTCAGATGTTGATGATGTTGTTTCAGTTGGGCTGAGAAGATAATGGCTGTGCTCAAACTAAGTGATGCTTTCACCAAGCCATGCCTCTCGTACTCTTATAAGACCTCAGGAAATGATGCCCACTTGTTAACCAAGGGTATAATATCTAAATGATCTATTAATAACGCACAACTTTGTGTTAACCCACGGTGAGCAACTACATTATGCCCGGAAAGGCACACATCGGGGTTTCTGCGGCACTCGGATGGGTTGAAAAATACTTATAAAAAAACATGAATCACAGTAAAAAAAAATACTGCCCCAGATGTTGGGAGCAGCTGTGCCCGGTCTGATGTGCTGCCACTCCTCTGACAGCTCCGCGCCAGCAGTGGGTCAAGATCTCTCATTTGTGCGTTTAGTGACATTACGGCCGTTTGATCCTCGACTTGTGTCCATTTCCCAGGGACGAAACTTGGAAGCGGGTCGGGTTTTATGTGTTGCTTCCACAGTCACAGGCTTGGGAAACACAAACACACACGAGTGGACCTTCTGTCAGCGTTTGCTCCGCCCAGCACAGCCCGCTCCGTCGTGCACGGACACACACACACACACACACACACACACACGCGCGCGCACACACACAGGCACAGTGGCGGAGCCTGGCACGCAGGCAAGGGAAAAACAAAAAAGCCACAGATATGAGAAGAAGGAGGACAAGAGCTGTGATCGTTCTCGAAGGCAGGAGGGATTTTAGAGGATGACAGAAAGAGAAAGAGAGTGTGAAGAGGCA